CTCGGGACCGTGAAGAATTCCACTTCCGGGGCGAAACAACACCATCTTGACCATGGTCAAACACCATAGATCTCGGTAGGGTGTTGGGGCCGTCGAGGGCAAGCTTGCCATATAACTTAAGTTGCCGTTTAAATAAGGTTGCCGTCAAACGCTGGACTCCTGCACGATCGCGAACTTCAGCGTTGCTCACACGAGAGACGAAAGCAGGTGGAAGTTTGAATTGGGCCGTAGGCATCTGGCCTGGAAGCTGTCGATCCTGTTTCTGTCCGCTTGTAAGAGCATGCACGATTCCAATCCGTACAGGAGTTTCGAAAAGGATCATGTCGACCATCGCCAGAGGGATTCGGAACTCGCGAAGGGCATGTATGAGTGAGGCTTTCTGGATGTATACGGTCGAACGCCTTGCTCCAGTCCAGCAAAAGGAACAGCAGTTGTCCCTCCTTGTCTTCCAATGTTGCGTCAATAAGCCTGCGCGCCAAGAACAACGCCTCACTGGTGCTGCGGCGAGGTCTGAAACCGCATTGGGATTCCCGCACTGCTTCTTCACAACCTCCTTGTTTGAGTCGGTGTAGCAATACGCTTGCGAGTGTCTTGTAACCCACTGTGAGTAAAGAGATCGGCCGATAGTTCGCCGGCTGGGACGTGTCACCTTTTTTGAAAATGGTAACCACAGATGTTTCCTTCCGTGCTTGCGGAATGTCTTTCGTCTCCCAGCATGCGCAACACAACGACGTCAATATGGTTAATGCCCCTTGGTCGCCGAGTAATGCTCGCCATGGCTCTGGTGGCACGCCGTCTGCACCCGGAGCACGTTGGACACGTTAGTATCTGATTGCCCTCTTCATTTCTCTAATTGTGATGGGGCCGACTTCCACATGCAAATGGCCTTGTCGTAGACCGTCTTCACAGAACTGAAAACCTTACTGGGGAGGGCGCCACTGGACCTGCTCGAGGTAATCTGCCATAGTATCAGCCCTCTCGGAAGCGTCTACTAAACGACCCTCGGCGTCCCAGAGCCGTCCGCATTGATGCGACGGTCCTTTCCGCAATGATTTGATCATGTCCCAGCGGTTCCTCGAAATCCCCTCTGTGAGCCAATGCTTCTTGTCTGCCTTCGTGGTCGGATTAACTTGTTCAGCTGGCCCTTACTCGTGCTACTCGATGCCGTTCCCCTCTGTCGCGCCTGGTTCCTCTCTTCGATCAAGTGGAGAGTGCGATCTGATATCCAAGGGCGCAGGCGGGAATGCAGGCTGCAGCAGATTCCAACATACACCGTGATATTGCAGCGGCGTGTTCGTCGAGCGTGCCGCTCGCTGGCTGCTTGTGCCACTCCTCCTGAAAATGTGAAATGTATTTGTGCTTCGTGATTTCGTTCTGGAGCGACGTCAAATCGTAATCAAGCTTCTTCTGCCTGCGGCACTTCTTTGGTATGTTGATGTTCAAATCGACGATCGTGACAAAGTGATGAGACTGGAGATGGCGATCGCGACAACTCCATATATCACAAATGTACGGCATCCAACTTCTTGCCACGACTACGTGGTCCACCTGCTCGAAATCTCCAGGCACGATGGTGCTGAACGGTTTGATGCCGATGTTGTGATACGTGATTGTATGATCGTCCGAGTGCTCAAAGTACGTATTTGCCACAGAGTTCAAGCGTATGGCATAACTCAACCAGCAATTTACGTTTGATCTGGGGCTCCACACAGAGAACATATTACGGAAAACAGTTTCTATGACGTTTTCTTCGCCAGCGTATTGTTACAGAAGCCGGGCGTTGAAATCTCCAAGTATAATGGTTGGCCCACGACACTGGCATTTCTCAGAACATATGGCCAAGTCGGTGTAGTAGTCGCGTCGTAGATCGTAGTCGTGCGTATTTGTCCAAGCGTATGCAGTAGTTCATGCAAGTATTCCACCATAAACTCGAATGCGAAGACTTGCCATTCGACTGTTATGTTGTATGTAGCCCTTGATGGCGTGTTTCGCCCAAGGCGATACAATGAAACCCACTCCCGCATATTCTCGCGTCTCCTCCTCCTGCCCAGAGAGAATAACAAAGAAACCTTCAAAGTCGAATACTGGTGAACCTCTGCAGTGCGTCTCTTGGAGACAAAGCACTCCGATGTCCATGTCACGCATGTGTTTAACTAATTCGTACAACTTGTACGGCAGGTCCAGGTTAATGCCTTCTGCATTCCACGTTGCTATCCTGCCGCACGTGACCGGCCATCATGGGAAGGCCACCCACTTCCCCACCCGATCCGTGGGGCTGCCAATGCGCCGTTGCATTTCCTATTCCGACTGCTTGCCGCCTTTCTTACTTTTTCCCTGTCCCTTCGTAGCCCGGCCCAGCAAATCGTTCGCCTTCGTGGTACGATGGTGAATTTAAGAACCGTTGGTCAATTCCTTCCAATCCTTCCATACACCTTCCCAGGATATCTGCAGCATTCTGTTCGCGACCTGTACTTTCACGACGGGGACTTTTGCAACGGTGAGGGCATAGTTGACGGTATCCACATGCACTTTTGCTCGACTGTATTCCCATTCCAGGAATTGTTTCCGTAGCCCGAAGAGAGTTTTCTCGAACTCGCTGCTCGAGAGGCTTGTCGGCCTTTATCCAGATGGTGCTCCCTTTGTGTGTAAGCTGTGGCTTGGCAACAATGTTGACAAACTTGTCCCGGGTATGCTTGCTGTTAAATTCTTCACGCTTCGCGTATCCCCACCAGCCCATCTCAAAACAGCAACTCTTGCGAAGCATGCCGACAGTCGTGTTTTTCAGGCGTGTTTCCGCCTGCCCCCGCATATCTCCGGGCCTCTCGTCCTGGTGTGAGTCGTGCGGGCCCTTCTTCCTGGTGTGAGTCGTTCGGGCTCTTCGTCGTGGTTTGAGTCGTTCGGGCTCTTCGTCCTGGCGTGAGTCGTTCGGGCTTCTCGTGGTGTGAGTTGTTCGGGCCCTTCGTCCTGGTGTGAGTCGTTCGGGCTCCTCCTCCTGGTGTGAGTCGTTCGGGCTCCTCGTGGTGTGAGTCGTTCGGGGCCCTCGTCCTGGTGTGAGTCGTTCGGGCTCCTCGTGGTGTGAGTCGTTCGGGCGCCTCGTCCTGGTGTGAGTCGTTCGGGCGTGGAGTCGAAGTCGTAGTAGTAGTAGTCGTAGGAGTAGAAGTAGAAGTAGATGTCTTTTGGTCGGAGGCCTCTGAGGGCGTCTTCGGCGCCTCTTGGGGCCTCTTGGAGACATCTTGGGGGCATCTCCTCGTGGGGCCTCTTGGGGGCCTCTTGGAGCCTCTTGGGGCCTCTTGGGGGTCTCTTGGGGGCCTCTTGGGGGCCTCTTGGGGGCCTCGTGGGGCCTCTGGGGGCCTCTTGGGGGCCTCTTGGGGGCCTCTTGGGGGCCTCTTGGGGCCTCTTGGGGGCCTCTTGGAGGCCTCTTGGGAGGCTCCTGGGGGCCTCTTGGGGCCATCTGGGGGCCTCTTGCGACCTCCTCAGAAGCGCAAAGGAGCGCTGCCCCCTGAGAAGGACAACATGAGCCAAAAACCTTCGTAAAATCAATGATTTTGCCATGAAGGAAGATGAGCGCGGCCCCCTCAGGACGCCCAAATGGGGCCAACACCGTAGTAAAATCAACGATTTTGGCTTCAAAGAAGAGCAGAGGGGCCAAACTGTATCCCCCCGACGGGGCCAGAATCCTCGTGAGGGTCGTCGTTTTTTTGGCCCTCCCAGGAGACAAAAAAGACCCCCCTGACTACGCCCCGGACTCCCTGTCCAGGTCCAGGGGGAGGGGGTAGGGGGAGGGGTAAACCCCTCCCCGAAGGGGAAGATGGGGGGTTGAGAACAGAGAGAGCTCGCTAAACCACTCACGCCCAAAGGGCTGGTGGGATTTAACGAAAATAATGTTTGTGAAGTCGCCTTTCGTGAAGATGTCTACGTACTCTTGCGGTTTCATGCGTGCAAACTGCTGCTTCAGGAAATCAACGGCGTCCTCCAAACTTTCAAAATCATCCAGTCCTCCGATAACAGCGTTGCATTCCACGTGTTGATTCGTGGTGAGTGCCGCAACTTGTCGCTGGAGCTCGTTGATTTTCATCTCCATGAGGCTGTCCTTGCTGCGCGCAGACCCTGTGTCGACGGATCCTGGGTGCGACCTGTGGGCTTCGAGAGCTGAGACCCTGTCGGTAATATCGTCGATGGCCGAACGGAGGGGCTGCATTGCGTCCCGCAGGTCTTGTTTTTGATGCTGCACTTTACTGGTGATGCCCATGTCGTCCAATCCGTCCACTTCCTGCAACGGGTTGTGGATCCGATGCTGCTTTACCCTCCCCCCAGTCAGATGCGGCGAAGATGGAGAACCAAATGAGGATTGAAGCGTAGCTTCGAAGAGCTGCCTGACCGGGGTGCCTGGTGCGCGTGTCTTGCCACCACCAGAAGAAGACATCATTTTTGTAGAATCGCAGTGTAATAAGAATCTAGGAGTACGCAGACTTGTGTAAGCAGTGCGCTTCAGACTTCGCTCTGATTTATAGCGACGGCGAAACTTGAAGTCCAAGCGCCAACCGTGAGGCGAGCAAGCGCCAGCCGTGAGGTGAGGACGCGGTGCATGACCATGCTTGAGCCTAACATGGTTGAGCTGAAGCCGTTGCTTGAGGGGGGATGTGGAGGAAAAGAGGAGGAGGAGGAGGAGGAGGAGGAGGAGGAGGAGGAGGAGGAGGAGGCGGAGGCGGAGGCGGAGGCGGAGGTGGAGGAGGAGGAGGCGGAGCGGAGGCGGAGGCGGAGGCGGAGACGGAAGAGGAGGAGGAGTAGGAGGGGGAGAGGGGGGCACAGGGGAGGCGGAGGAGGGGGCGGAGGCGGAGGAGGAGGCAGAGGAGGCGGCGGAGGCGGAGGAGGAGGAGGAGGAGGAGGAGGAGGAGGAGGAGGAGGAGGGAGGAGGAGGAGGAGGAGGAGGAGGAGGAGGAGGAGGAGGAGGAGGAGGAGGAGGAGGATAAGGAGGAGGAGGAGGGGGAGGGAGCAGGGAGGCACAGTGGACATTGTGCTGGTGATGCCGAGCAAGGACGCCTCCTCGCTCGGCTGCAGGCACGTCACCCACCTGAGGAGGTACGGTGTGCAATTGCGAGAGGTTCCCTGGCTGACAGGAGGTGGCAGGGGGGAGGAAGGTGGGGGAAGGATGACTACGAGGATCTAAGTCGCCCGCAGGATGCGAATACATTCGCCGGTCGCCCTTGACGGTCTAGGCTGGAGAGCTATTTCCCAGGGGTCGGCGCGAGAGCGCAAAGACAACCACACTTCGCGCTTTGTGCAGCGCGGCGAGCGAAGCGCGACGTGAGGTAACCTAGAGGATGGTGAGGGTGAGTGTGACGAAGCCCTCGGACGCTCTCCCGGAGGAGGTAGGAGTGAAGCTTTGCCTGGAGGGTCGGCTTTGGTGTTGGCAGCTCCTTGGATGGCCAGTGAATCGCTCAGTGTCCTCTGGAGTCTCCGGTGACAATGCTAGGTTCGGCGTCAATTGTCCATGCCTTGTTCGAATTCGAAAGCCGTATGCCTTGTTCGAATTCGAAAGCCGTTGACCAGGGATATGGAGGGGCCATATTGGGGACTTCTGGAGGTATTCTTGTGGTCTCGTGCAGCTACCTTGAGCCTCTTGGAGCCCTCTAGGATTCTCCTGGGGTGCCCTTCTGGGCCTTTCCGAGGGCCCTCGTGGGCCATCTCGGGGCCGTCCAGAGAGTTCCTAGGCCCGTCGGAAGCCGTAGAGGTCAAACTAGTTCAAGTTAGTTTTTTCTGTTTCAGTCGATGTTACCTCTAGGGGGATGTTACCTCTAGGGGGCATCCTTGGAAGGCTCGAGGCCAACCTAAGAACATTTGTTGTTTGTTTTGTGGGCTTTTTGGAGCGATGCTGGAGCTCCGGTGTGGGGCCAACAGGCATCTTTGCGCCGTCGTAGGGGTAATTCCAGACTTCCCTAAATTCATTGCCTGGAAGGGTTTGTAGAACTACGGTCATATAGAAGCCAGTCGGTTATGTCGTCCTTCATGGGAGCCTCAGGGGATCCTACCATTTATTGCGGTTTGGGGGAGTTCGTCTGGATATCGTCGGCTCTGGCCGAAACGGTTAACAGGGTTGGTCGAATGTTGGACGAAATTTGGTCGAAATGACGTTTATGCTACGTCCGCGGAGGTCCACAGAGGTTGCCATGAAGGACCACAAGTAGGAGTGTTGCTAGATCCAGAATCGGTCGGGCGACTTTGTTTTCCATGATCTCACGTTGCCTCCCATTGTTTGTCCCTACCCCTATCCGTATCTCTCTCCATCTCTATCTCCATCTCTACCCCTGTCCCAATCCCTGTCCCCATCCCTCTGGCTCTATCCTTATCCCTCGTTTTGCTCCCTCCGCTCCGCCTCGAAACCACGGCGGATCGCAGCACGCGGCCCGATCGGGCCATGCTGCTCTGGCCGCCTCCCCTCCTCCTCCTCCTCCTCCTCCTCCTCCTCCTCCTCCTCCTCCTCAGATGATGATGGTGAGGAGGCGCACTCTTTTTCACTCAATGTGGCCGATGGCGCCTCGGTCTCCGAGGCGCGAGCTCGCGGCCCGGCAGCCTGCCTGCCCGGGCCGCCTGCCCTCCCACGTGCTCTGGCACTCCCTGCCAGTCCACACGCGCCGCGAGCCACGGGCCCACCTCGAGGGTCCTGCCCGCACCGGAAGGGGGGACCTAGCCCTGCCACTACCCAGCACTCGTGCGCCTGTGGCGCTCTCGTCTTCCTTCCGCCTCGGCAGGCGGCCGCTCCTCAGCCTCGCGAGGCTCCCCTTGCGCGCTAGCCGTCGGCCTATACGGCCAGGTGGGCCACCTTGCGCATCGAGCCTCAAAGGCCCTTTGCGGCTGTCACGCCCTTCCTCCTCAAACCATGGGCAGGTCCGCCTCCGCCATGCTGCTGGCCACGCCCTGCGCCATGTTTGTCGCCTCCCACAGGTCGCCCTGGAACGCGCCGCTGTTCCAGCGCCCCCAGCGCTGCACCAGCGCCGTGTCTTTGAACGCCGCGTACAGCGTGGATGCTCCGCCACTCCTCAGGCTGTGGAGCCGAGGTCGTTCGGGTCCACCCCTTCTGCCACAGCCGGCTGCATCACCACGCGCTGGACATCTGCTCGCGTCACGAGCCTGGCGTCATCATAGGCGAAGAGCGGGTCGTACATCCTCGTCCCTGAAAACCTCTCGCGCGCCCAGGCCTCGAATATCGTCAGCGCTTCTACGACGTATATGTGCCCCGTCTCCACTGACTCCGCTGCCACCTCCACCCTTAAGTGGTCGCGCCCCTCCCCGCGATTGTACTGGTCGGTTTTATTGGCCCTGATCTTGATGACGACCTCGTTCGCCTCGGGCCACTTCCTGCACGGCTCGCCCCGTGCTTTCGGGGTGACGTCAACACGTCGCAGACCCTCGCCGCTCGTGTAGCCGTTCTGGTCCCCGAACACGTACTCGCTAGCCCTTAGCAGGAATAAATAGTCCATTGCCACCGCCGCCCAGAGAACCGCGCCTTCGTGAGACCTCTCCGGCTGCAGCTTCCTCCGAATCCACCGCATCATCCTGGGGGTGACCGGCTTCTTCCGATTGGCGTCCCCGTCTCGCTTCTTGAGACCATCGATCGCTATCCAGAGCTTGCCTGCCGCCGCCGTCAGGTCGCCCATGCCGAGGGCCAGGTGCTGGGCGCGGACCGCGCTCAGGTTTGCTTGATTGTGCCCGCCTTCTGGCACCCGCGCCTGGACATGTGGGCGACAAATTCTAGACGCTTCGCGTATCCCCACCAGCGTCCGTAGCCTGGCTCAAGCCTGGCTCAAGCCGTCTCGGCTCGAGCCCGCCCCTCGCACAGGTGCGCACTCGGGCCAGGGCCATGTCCGCCCTCGGGGCCGCCCTCTCGGGGGCCGCGCTGCGCCGCCGCCAGCGGCTGGTGGCGGCGCGGCGGGACGCCGCGCCCGGACTCTGCGGCCCACTGCCGCTGCCGCCGGTGCCGCCGCCGCCGTCGGAGGCGGCTGGCTGGCTGGCGGTGGTTTTCGCCGCCGCCGCCGCCGCTGCCGCTGCCGCTGCTGGCTCCCCGCTGGCGGCGGCGGCGGAGGGCGCGGTGGCCGGCGCCGCCGCGGCCGCCCCCGGGGCCGCCGGCGGCGCGGCCGTCGCCGCGGCTGACGCCGCTGCCGTCGCCACCGCTGCTGCCGCCGCCGCCGGATCCCCTACAGTGGCGGCGGCGGCCGGCGGCGCCGTGGCCGGCGTTGCGGCCGCTGTCGCGGCGGACGCTGCTGCCGCCACTGCCGGCTCCCCGCTGCCGGCGGCGACGGCGGCGGGCTCGGTGGCCCGCGCCGCCGCGGCCGCCACCGCGGCCGCCCGCGGCGAGGCCGCTGGTGCGGCGGCGGCCGCCGAGCAGCAGCAGCTACAGCAGCAACAGCAGCAGCAGCACCTGCAGCTGCTGCCGCAGCAGCAGCGACAGCCGCAGCTGCAGCAGCTACAGCAGCAGGACAGCAGCAGCAGCAGCAACTGCATCAGCCGCAGCAGCTACAGCAACAGCAGCAGCAGCAGCAACATAACCCCGCAGCTGCAGCAACAGCAGCAACAGCAGCAGCAACAGCAGCACCCCGCAGCCGCAGCAGCAACAACACCCCCCTCACAACCACTGCCTCAGCAGCAGCTGAACCCACGAGAAGACTCAGAGGTACCCTTGCTCCCTCAGCAGCAGCTGCAGGGCAGAGACATGGAGACGCTCCCCTATGGGAGCCAGCAGAACCCAAGAGAAGACTCAGAGGCACCCTTGCTCCCCCAGCAGCAGCAGCAGGGCAGAGGGAAGGAGAGGGAGGCCGCGGCGGAGTCGGCGGAGGCTGCGGAGGCCGCGGGGTATCGGGGGCCCGAAGCGGCGGGAGCCTTTGAAGGTGCGGAAGTGGAACAAGCCTTCATCCGTGTCTCTGGATTAGGACCGGGTGGGCAGGGGGTGGCCCCCGAATGTGCTGACGGCAGCCGCATCAGTCAGCTAAGCGAGATCCCGGAACAGCAGGGGCTCGCCTACCACACCGTGCCACCCCCACCTCCCCTTCAGACCGTCAGCAGTCCTCTGGGGGCGCCACAGACCCAGCAGGGGGGCCGCGGACCAACCGTCCAGGCGCAGGACAGCGAAGCCATTTACTGGCTCGTCGGGAGAAACCCCTTCGCGCCTATTCGCCCCCCCCTCCCCTGCCAGTGAACCCGCTCTAATGGGCGGTGAACCCCAGGCGCTCTCGCCTGACGTCCAGGACACGATTGACAAATAATCTCGTGCTCTGGCGATGGAAACTGCGTCGCCGGACGTGCGCGCGCCCAGCGCAACCGGCGGCGCCTCCGAGACCGGCGAGAGTCCTGCGTTGACCGAAGGGGGCGCGTCCGGGAGCGACGGCGGGCACAGGCCCGAAGGCGAGCGCCAGCGAAAGTGGCCTCTCCCCGCGCGCCACAGGGCAGCGTCCGCCCTGGCTATCGGAGACGATCCGACCCCCGCCTGGCGGCCAACCATGCGGTCCGCCTCTCCCCGCAGAACCCCGCCAGGCGCGCAGCCGGAACTGTCGCGGGCAGATCGCGAGCCCTCCGGCCAGGACAGCGAGGCCGGTACGTTGGAGACTTGCGGCCAGGATACACGGCAGCACCGATGGCCCGACCCGCGCCAATGGCCAGAGCCCACGGACCCCAACACGGGACAGCAGCTGTACAAGACAGAAATCAACAACATCCAGTAGGACTTACCCGGGGAGACACCCGGCGAGGCGATAAGGCGGCTCCAAGTCACACTGGGAACAATGTTCACAGGCACCTGGCACGCCTTCGCCGAGCGGCAGTCCGTGCCAGGCAGCAAAGGCGCGCTCGACCCTCTTCGGCGCAACCCGCAAACCTGCCACCTCTTCCTTGAATCCCTCCGCAGCCACAAGTGCGCCGTACGGGTCGTCAGCGACGTGCTGGGCCTCGACGTCGACTGGGCTCGGCTGTGGCATATGCGCCCGGGTCGAAGCGGCAGAGCGAGCAGGGATCACCACGCGGCAAAGGGTCACCCGGACGCCCAGGCACCCAGGAAGGGCAACAACAACAGTGGCGGGCCGTCTCCCCACAGTAGCCGTTGCTGCCCCACCT